ATCACTAGCATATGCCATTGCTTCAACACTAGGACTAGCTTAAGGTTAAATAAACAATTATTAGCATCTCCCTTGATATCACCATCAATAGTCAAAGACAAATCAGTAGCTTTCACCTCGACATCAACATGATCACCCAATGGCACAACAAAATCCAACTGAACAGCAACCCCCGAAGGAACAACTTCCTCCACAACAATCAAAACAACATTAGCAACACTAGGACCAAACTCCACAGCCGTATTAGTTCCACCATAAAATTCAACATTATCCACCCCCTCATTAGTAGGCAGAGAAGGAAGTAAGGAAGGGATAACATGATGAATAAACTGCCAATTATCAAATTCCTCCTCACAGCTTGCATTAGTATTAACATGTATTGAAACATTATTAAAACCAATTACTGAGGTGGAAGAAGGAAGTGGACGATATTCATAAATCCAATGCCCAATACTCTTACAGGAAGCACAAAAAGGGTTGGGGAGGGGGGATCGACCTCCATCTCCACTTGTTATATGTAACCAAATTTCTTCGGACCTAACCACACTTTATCAGGATAAGTTTTTATAATATCCAGCTCAACCAACACCCGAGACATATAAGGGTAAGAACCAACAAAAGTAGCATTGTTAATCTTCAACAGCTTACCAAAAATCAATCCCATACCATGAAGGATACGGGGGGAGAAGAAGTGAGGTAGAAGATTCGAGAATGAGATCTAAATGGGGATTGCCAAAGACTCAACACCAACGTCAAACCAAGGAGACCATTTGGTCAATTTTATATAACAATTGTTAACAAGATAAGATCTATGGTAGAAAACTCTACTGTAATCAAGATTATTAATCAGCTTAATCAAAACATGCGATGTATCCAACAAAGTAAACAAAACATTGCTAATAAGCTTAAGGTTGAAGAAGAATCTTTGAATAACATCAAGCGAAGGTCTCCTAGAAGGGGAAAAAAAAAAAAACAACTAACAAAATTTTAAAGGGAGCTGCTAGAGAAGTAATATCCTCCTCCGAGATCCATAGAGAAGGTAGGACACAAAAAGAGGAAGGTTTAAGGTTAGGAAAACTCGCATTTGAAGAACAAATGGAAATAACATTGAGAAAGGAACAAGATTTGAATGATCTATCCAAAAAGCCAGGATCAGCTAAGCTTTTCCCAACCATCCGGTGAAAAACTCGCTGAGGGTCGAAAACCTAATGAAATAAAATACCAAAAATGAAAAAGAAATAATTAAAGGCAAAGGGAACAAGACTTCCCTGAGGTCAGCCATGAATAGGTGGCAGCAACCACCGGGAGAACCCAGCAGAACAGAGGGGCGTAAACCCTAAGCCAAGAGCGGAGAGTAAAGAGCAATGAGGCTTGAATCAGTTGAAGTGTTTCATTATGGCAATAGGGTTACAATAGTCCGCTCTTCCCTCAACAAAAGAAGATTATATTAATTCGAGTTTGATTTCATGTGAATCTATTGGAGAATAATGGAGATGTAGTATAAGAATGATGAGTACAAAATAATATCCAATTATAGTCAGATAATGATAGTCATGCTGTATTGGAAGGATGATAATAACTGGATGATGACTGTTGAATGATGATAAATGACAATGACAGTCAAGTGGTACAAGTCGGACAAAGGCAGACAATTGATAGCAGTTAGACGTTGGTGGTTAAAGTAGGCGATCGTTGTTGTCGAACTCTGGAGAGCTTTAGAGTTTTGTAGATATCTTGGATCTCTCTAATTTCTTGTTTATGTATAGAATGATGGTCTATTTATACTTTTTAAGAGCATCATTTTAATAAATATAACTAAAATCCCAATATATTCTATCAGATGACCCTTTTTAATTCATTTAATTGCAATTATTCTTTTAGTATTTAAGTGCTTTAATGAAATCAAAATAAATTGACATTTGGTTTATTGAATTCCTCTTATAGGGATGCTCATTTTGAACATAAGCATGTAAAATTTGAAAATTATTTAGTTCTTCAATTAATGTCCCAAAGTTTCTAAACTATACTTTAAACGCTTGATTTGGGCAAATTTGAACCAGATCATAGAACTTTTGGAATCATTGGATTAATCTTTTTGAGACATTAAATTTGATGAGACATTTAGTTTGATTATAAAATGGTTGAAATCATAGTTAGGATGATCTTAAATCTAATTTTGAAAGTTTTAGTTTATTTATTTATTATTTAAAGTTGTGCCCAATCAAATGAATTTTTGTATGTCATATCACTTATATATCATTTTATTATCTAAATCACATCAAAGTATATGCATTAAAATATATATCTTATTTTAAATAAGTTCATATTAGTGATCATTTTGAAGCGATTCACATTCATTTACTTATAAAGATATGTAATCAAATAAGTTCTTGAACATAATTTATAACATTTGAGATAGAAATAAATGCATTTGAATATTCATTCACTTATTCATTTATATTTATGTGAATATTCACTGTTGTTCAATGAATAACACCACAGATATATCATTTAATGTTTGTTTTATGGATAGGTATTAGTGATTTTTTCATATTTTGTGTAAAATTTCTTTTTTTTTTATGGATTATGTATAAATAGATGTTTTATAGTGGAGTGTGTATACCTATATTCATTTGGATTATGTTGATCAAATCACCACGGGTGCTAAATTTTATTTTACAGGTCGCAAGTCATTAACCAAATCAATGTTTGTCAAGCCTCAAAGTCATTTAGTATATTAGACTTATTTAATTCTTAGAACTTATCCATTGAACTCACTTAATAGAATCTCAAACTTGCCTACTATCTAGGGTTACTTGACCACATAGCTTTGTTTACTCATTTACAATACTTTTAGTTGATCAAGTATTTTCACAAAACCAACTTCCATGCGTGCACCCTACAAATCTTTCAATTCTTTAAGAAAGAGTTATTTTGTGTGTGCGCGCGCGTGTTGGAGGGGGAGGTGCTCCTCCATATGTTTCTTCAATTTTATTAATGTAATTTTAGTTTTGTGTTATGACTAACATTTTTTATAACAAGAATATATTTTAGTAGTTATACGTATTTATGGTAGTAGTGTAACTAAATATTCAAAGATAGGAATTCATATAAGCTAGTTTATTTTAGTCCACCATTGCCAGCAAAATTAGTTGAATTTGACCATGAATCAATCATTAGAAAGACCAAATCAAGCAAATTATGAACGAATCAATGGGGATGTGGCTGACCATAACAAAGTTTCAAGAAGAATTTTTATTAGCATTTGTGGCTTCTCAATCAAGACAATGAGTTGAATTAAAAAATATTAGCTTTCTTTTGAAATTAGGCATCATTAATTATGTCTTCTTATTTTCTTTTATGAATTGGCTATATGAGGCGAGATTGATGAATGAATTCAATATTTGATGAAGATTTTCTTCTTTGAGGAAGTTTGGGGGCTAACTCTTGGGCATTAATTTGATTGTCTTCTCCAATCTAGCTCTTTGGTGGGAGTTAGTTTATTATCTTTGCTTTATCTTATCTATATTATTTTTTGTAACAATTTCTAACATCTCATTGACCCCCTCTCATGAGGTGGAGTTACTTTGCAAAATTTTTTTTGCTCACCTAGCTACAATAAAAATCTTTCCTCTATACACGCTCTCAAAATAACTCAAAACCTATTCACTTTCTATTTCTTCATTTCTACACATCACCTAGAAGACCATTAATCCTTTAAGCTTTTATGACCTCTTCAATATGTCACATACTAGCATTAATCGAGCCCACAAATCTTCATAAGCCTTAATAAGCCTTATAAAGCCACACATTCAAGTCAAGACATAAATCTCATATCCTTCCTTAAGGATCTCATCCACCCTTAGGTGTTTTTCTTCCTCACAACACTTTTGTCAACCATTGCAAATACACACCACCTCAAATGAATGTGACTTCTCAAAATATTATATCTTTACCAAAGATTATGATGATGTCATAGAGAATTTTCACATCTTCTCAAGAGTATGGTCAAATAGAGGATCCCCAAACTTGCATACTCATCAATGCTACTTTTGCATAAAATTTGACTATTTATGTATAACATTCATTAGGCGACTATGAGTTTCGCTAGAAGAACTCATCAATGGAACTAGCCAATTGGTCTCACTTATTGGGCAATTGCAAGTTAAATTTTTATATATATAACTACTTATACAAAGTATATTTATATCTATTTTTATAATTTTATCACGTAGTTATTCCCATAATATCTGTATTAATCCCCACCAATGAATATGGTCAAAGATTAGATATGAGTATAAAAAGGTGCTTTTGGCCAAAAACTCCATCACATTAAAATTTTTTAGATTATCTCTTCTATAACTTCTAGCGTGATCGGACTTACCATTTCTCTCTCTAAATGGTCAACGTGATCTCTTATAAACTTTGAATGTAACGTACATTAAGGTCTTGGTGTGATTTATAGACATCATTGAATTCAACAAAACTAGTTATCTCTATCAAACCAACAAATAGTTTGATTTTCATTATTAGTTATTTTAAATGAATAAAATATACTAAATGAATTATATAAATTTTCATGAAGAATTCACATGAGTTTTTATGACTAAATCATTTGCACTAAATTCATATTTAGTTTTACATGATCAAAACTTTCATTTTGCTCAAGCCAAAAAAAAAAACTTGAACAATTTATTGGAATTTATATAAAGCTCAAAATAAATTTAAATATAATAAATAAATAAACCTAACTTATAACAAGATTTTTCAAACCTATGTAAGAAGAGGGAAAGGGAGGGGAAGGTCAACCTCATATTTTTTAATTAAAAAATTAATTACATAAAATATTAATAAAATATTAACTTAAATAAAGATAATGGTTACATCATAAAAAAACACACATCCCTCTTAAAAATTTAATTATTATCTATAATTTAAAATAAATAAATAAACATCCACATTTTCCATTGATGGTTATATAACGGGATCCCATTAACTCCACTAACCTCGCACAAAAACTTTTCTTGCTATTACTTCCCCCAACACCATCATTCTCACCGCCTCCACCACCACTCCTCCTCCTCCTCCTCCTCCTCCTCTCTGTCAAAGATGTCATCCTCCACCGACGTAGGCCCAATCGTCCGCTTCCCCTCCTCCGCCTCCTCCTCCGATGGCTCCCCTCTCCAACTCCGACGCCGCGACAGCCTCTCCTCTCCACCACTCCCCACCCTATGCCTCATGTCCTCCGGCTCCTCTTTCCTCCGCTCCCTCTTCCCCTCCCTACGCGCCGCCTATTCCTGGCTCCGCATCCCCACCCTCCCGCTCACCACAACCCCCCGCAACTCCTCCCCCAGCCGCCGCCTCACCATCACCTTCTTCGGCCACCGCAAAGGCCGCATCAGCTTCGCCGTACAAGAAAACCCTCGCTCCCACCCCCTCCTTCTTCTCGAGCTCGCTACTCCCACCTCCCATCTCGTCAAAGAAATGGCTTCCGGCATGGTTCGTATTCTCCTTGAGTCCGAACAGGGGAAGCTCAAAAGAACCTTATGGGAAGAACCAGTCTGGAGCATGTTCTGTAACGGCCAAAGGTGCGGCTACGCGGTGGCAAGGGAATGCACGGCCGCGGATTTAAAGCTGCTGAGTGCGGTGAGCGCAGTTTCCGTTGGTGCCGGAGTCATGCACGTGGCGGCCGTGGCTCTCCCATCCACTGAAGATGTGAAAGAGCCGGCGGCGACTCCGACGGAGGGTGCTTGTTTAAGCCGCAGTGGAAGTAAAGTAGGAGGAGTCGGAGACGGTGAGATTATGTATATGCGGGCGAGGTTTGAGAGAGTCGTGGGGAGTAAGGATTCAGAAGCTTTGTACATGATGAATCCGGATGCTTCAGGGAAAGGAGATCAAGGGACGGGATCTGCAGGGAAGAATAGTTCTAATGGCGCCCCTGAGCTCAGCATATTTCTATTGAGGGTTTAGGTTTGGATGAATGGAAGAGATGAATTACAAACGAGCAGATGAAGAAATTAAGGCATACAGTTTTATTATTGTTTCTTAAAATAAATTTTTAGTATAAAAATTAATTTTTTTTTACTAAAAAGTTATTTTAAGAAGCAACAAAAAAGCCGTCCCAAGCAAAGCCTAAGTTTTTTGAATGCGCTATCAAATATTGGGCGGTGAATGATTAATCTCTCAAAAAGTTTGGATTATATGTATACTTGGAATAAATAGTTATTTTGTATTGGTGGTAATTATAAAAAAAAAAATTATGTTAAAATATCTCCAATGATATTTTCATCAGGAGAAACTTCAAAGCCTTCGAATTTATTTTACGATTAATATAAATTCGAAGACTTTAAAGTCTGCCGTCCTGATAAAAATACATCAGGATATTCTGACATTATTTTTTTTTTAATAATTATATATGAATGTTCTATAATATAAGAATTTTTCTTTTGATGAAGTTACTTATTTCTAATATTTATTTCTTTTTCTTAATTTAATGGAGATAGTTGTTACATGTGATGCATAAGATATTTATTTATTTGGTAGTTGTTTGTTATATCAGTTTGTTTATTTAATGGAGAAAGTTACATGTGATGCATAAGATATTTGTGATTTGTTTTCTTTGGAATGAGTGAAAGATGCTAGATTCTTTTATAAGATTGTTATTTTGGATGTGTGTGTGCCAAATATTTTGAGCTGGAGATTTGGCTCCCTTTTAATGAATTCTTAGATAACTCTTTCATTTGTTCTCATGTGAGTCTTGGATTCAAGTAGAGCATGTAGAGTTTTATTGATCTGAGATCTGGTTATCAATATTTTTATATTATGCTTGATGAATCTTCGCTATTAGTGTCCAGGAGTGCAAGCGGAATATAATTTGAGGATATCTTACCGACCTCTAAATTTTATCAGTAATTTTTGTTGATTCAAGTAAAAAAATAATTTGTTTTTATGGGAGGTGATCAAATACTTTTGAAGATCGGAGTTAACTGATTTAGTTGATAAAGAGATTGAAAGTTATTATGATAATTTTTGAATTTTATCTCATATACATTAAATCTATATTTTATGGCTCAATATTAAAAAATATTAATAATAAAACAAAGTTAGTAATAAAATTTTAAAATGTGCAACAATCTTTGTGACACTATTTAGATCTAGGAGGCGAAAGAAAAATTATTATGCTATTGAAAACTAAAAAAAGACAATGGTTACTTCAATAATGAGAACAATAAAATATGTTAAATTTAATTTCATCCTCAATGCTTTCTATATTTGATGCACAAAATGACATTATTACTTGCTTGTATTTTTTTTTCTTATTTTGAGAGTTTTTAGTATTAAGAATTTCTATGCTTGGAATTAGATTTCATTGTGTTTTAGATCAAATTTGTGTCCTTTAAAAGCTATATACTATTATTAAAATATAAATAAATATATTTTTTGTCAAAAATAATTAATCAATATCCGACATTAAGAGCTATGAAAATTTTCTAAAAGAATAAATAAGTATATATAAGGATGCCATACTCTTTTGTTGAGTTTTGTCATGAGCATAAGGATGTCATAAGAAGAGATTTTATTGATTTGTGTATGATGTTAAGGAGCTCATTTGTGATCACGAGAGATAGGCTTAATTCTAAAAGGAGAAACATCGGTCTTAGAAGATTCATAAACGATGTTCGATTGTCAATTGATTTGAAAGATGTAAATGTGAAGAGAGTTGTTGATTAGTAAGAGTTCAATAAAATTTTATAAATTTATGTGGGGGTGCAAACAAAGATGTAAGAACCTTATTATTGAACTTTATATCATTTTTAGAAGTATATTTAAACATTATAATTGATTGACTAACATATGTATTCATGTTTTATAGCTAGTACTGTCATAATCCAATTTAATGTAACCCCATTCAATAACATATTACATATAGTTTGGGTGGATGGATGAGTGGAATATCATTTCATTTGTCTAATATACAATACATTTGTATTTTTTATAGCATTATTCTCCTCTGATTAGGATCACACATCACCCAAAGCATTTATCATTAACACAAATCCATATATAATATAGTAAGTAAAATATAGTTATAACATATAAAGGACCATTGGCTTCTATTTACCAAGATTATAATATTTATGTAACAAAAATAATTAACATACATATCGATGCCATTTTTATAAAATATCAAAATTTATTCATTTGTATTTTAATTACAAAAGAGAGAGTATCATACACTAAACATCAAAATTATCCATCTCTAATAGCAAAATCCACTTTAACCTTCCTTGAAACAAATAACAAATACACACACATACAATATTAAGCATAAAACTTATTAGTTCGTATAAAACATATCATAGAATTCAGTAAATGAAAAGAAGATCAACATATATGATTGCAATTTCATTAGAATATAACATGCTATAGTCTATGCATTTTATATTATATCCTATTTATGCAAGCTTATGTCCATTACATAGTTATATCTTATCATGTCACATGTAAGCATATGAAAAAATAAATAGTTTGTATATTTTTTCTTACAACTATTCTTTTTTGCATCATTTTATTTCTTGTAAGAAAAGAGTTAACATGATCTGCCATATATAGAATAATCACATGTCATTACTATCATCATTATCAATATGATAGTTCTTCTCAATGCATGTCTTGAATGTCACCCTTGCACTAGCTATCAAGCTTTCATGGCATTCTATCATAAAATCTGTTAACCACACATAAACTTGGGCTTATCTGTGCATAGTACTAAGATCATCCTCTATATAACCATATATTAGAGAACCAAATGTTTTCCCCTTACTTTCATCATTAAAACAAGTTCATTAGTTTTCCCTCTTGTAGGGAAAAAAATTAAATATACCAATCATTAGATTTTTTCATAGCCAATCTTTTTTGTAATTCAAGCATGCGTTTTTCTTACATGCATATATAATATAGCTATCAAGCATAATTCATATACAACATATGGTATCATTGTGTCATAAAAAGCATGTTATGAACATGATTACATATAGAATCATTCAAGTGCATCATGTGCATTGTATGCTAACAATATGTGAAATTAGATTATATCTTGTATATGACATTAAAAAAACATATAAAATCACACTCATTATTACGTAAATCACATAGTATCTCAAATATTATCATGATTCACCTAAGAGCACATGCTTGACATTTAACATAAAGAAACATTATGTCATATGTTATAAAGAGTATGTCCCATATACAGCGCCATATTCTCATGAACAATCATATCTCCATATTATCATAAACATGAGAACCCATAGTAAGACGTTGAAATCAGAATCTTAATAATTATAACATTATATGAATCATGAGGTTCCGTAACCGAAAGATAAGTAAGCTTTTTAGGAGAAGCAATAATTGATATTAAGAAATTTCACTTAGTAAGATTTCGTTTGAGACGGTTTTTTTTTTTTTTTTGCTTCTTAGATCAAAATTTTATTACAAAAATTAAAAATTTTATTATGGAAAACTGCTTTAAGAAATAAAAAAGCTGTCCCAACGACTTTCTTACTGCTTCTTAAAATGACTTTCTAATACAAAAATAAAAAAAATTCTACTAGAAATCTGCTTAAAGAAGCAGTAAGAAAGTCGTCCCAAACGAAACCTAAATCTATTACTTACCCATCAAAAGTACTTTTCAGGAATTGATTCATCCATCAATCATGAAATCACATTTGAGAAAGAAAGATTTTTGTTTCCTTCGATAAGAAAAAGTAACTCGAAAAATTTTGCAGCCCTTGTCATAATTGGTAGCTTTGCATCAAATAAATTCGAAATTTATATATTCGAATTTTTATGAATTTGACATTAAATTCGTTTAGAGACCTCTAAAAAAAAAAAAAAAAAAAATCTTAGGATCGATTTGATTTTTGAGTGTTGGACTCCACCGGAAAGCCAGCCATGATTGAGAATTTTTACTTCCATGGATCATTTTCAACCGCAAGACCTCGGCTCCGCACGATAGAGAAGACCGAGAGATGAGCAGCGCATTTTTTGGCGCAGGAAGCTCTACGTTGCCGCTCTTCTTCCAATCCGCTTCGCCCACCTCTGCGGGCTTCACTCCCATTGAACGCATTCCACTTGCCCCGAGCTTCGGCTCGTATTTCCCCATCAACCCAAGCTCCAAGCGTTTGAGATCAATATGCAAAGATCGCAGCAGAGATTCTGCTGGATTCGAAAATGATGCCAGTGATGCAGGAGTGTCGGATGAAGAGGAGCACGAGTATTGGGTCTCATCGCCGTCGGCTTCCCCGTACCAGATTCTTGGCATCGATCCTGCTTCTTGCTCCCCCGCCCGACTCAAATCCGCCTTCCGTGCCCGAGTACACGCTAAAACGCTTTTCATTAGCAAACCCTATTTTTGAAGCTTAATTCCTGTTTTGTTACTGATTAATATATGGTTTTGCTTTTAGTTTCCATTCTTAATGGAAAGGTAATTTGAAAAAGAATTTAATTTGCTTATGTTAGATGGCGCACTTACACTTTTTTATAGCTCTGGAAAATGAGGATTTGAGGAAGGTGGAATTTGGGGAAGATTAAGTGAGGTTTCAACTTTCAAAAGTTCACTGTTTGAGTTGGTTTGTAGTTTCTGCGATGTGACAAATTTGGGATGTTACTTAAAGTTGCTTCATCCAATAAACATAGAAAAGTGGGATTAGATTGAACTTTAAGCTTTCGGCTAGTGGGAGTGCTTAGAACTTCATATTCTTCTCAACTGATTTATTTTTTTTCCTTGTGTATTATTGGAAATTGTGGTTGGAATTAGGTGAGAAGCTGTTAGAAGTTGTATATCTTTGACTTGGACATTATTTTAGGGGACATTTATATAAGGTCCGAAGGTGGAATCCTATTTCCTTATCAGTCTTGTTATAAGTAATGCTAATAACTTTATTTTGAACTTTATGATTGCTTTAAAAGGGCTGTTTGGCTAAATATTTTTAAAATACATGTATTTTAGAAATATTTAATAATTGGCATATTTGCATTTTGGAAATCCATTTGTTGTTTGATTGGATGTAAATTAAATTCGTTCAAATTCTATTTGTATTTGTTATGATAAATTTTAAATGATTAAAATGTGGCGGACAACAGTGGACAATGTCGGGTGACGACAGTTGGTAGATATGGATAGGTGGCCGATGGCGGGTGGTGGTGGGCTAGTGGAGGCAATAGTGGGGCCAACTACTGAGGAAGCTGAGGTCATGGGCTGTGAGTTTTCCCTGCATTTGAAATTCTCCCTATTTTGTTGAATTCCAAATTCTTCAAAACTAGGTGTTTTGAGGTATTTTAAATTAGCTACACAAATGTTTTATATTTCATTTACTTCAAACCATCTAGAAAAAGAAACCAAAGTTCTTGCATTTCTTTTACTTTATACTCCTAATACTTGCAACCAAACAACCCCTAAGTCCTCTCATTTTCCTTCAAAAGTTCCCTTCTAATAAACAGCTTTAGAATACCTATTTTACCCTTCATATTAGCTTACACTCACAAAAAAAAAAAAAAAACTCACTCAAGATAACCTTTATTTGATTCCTATGTCATTAGGATTCCTCTCAAAAAAATTCCTGTAAAATTTTGTAATCATTCTAACCTCTCATTGTGAGATGGTCTTACGTGATAACATTAAGAGGTTGACTGTGAGTAAAGTTGCTACTATAGCATCTCTTCTTGCTGCATGATACAAACAAAGAGAGGATACAAAGACAAAGAAAGTTGTTTTCTGTCTTAGAGTCCTATCGCCAAGAAAAAGACGAGAAAAAAAAAAGAGAAAGAAATCCAATCAATATCTATAATAATTCTACCCCAAATATAACTAACCAGGTGGCTAGATTGACTAAATAGATGACCACCATGATGGAGTGGATAATAATGCATATAACTGCCACTGTGACTAGTGGGCCAAGTTGTATTATGTCTCCTCCTTCTCTGTTTGAGAAAAAACATGGATGGAGAGTATGAAGAAGAGAATATGGCTACCACTAATGAAGCGTGAATAGGAACAATTGAAGTACAATCTGAAGTGTGGATTCCTATGTGTTATGAGATAATTTATGTTGAGACGCTTGATGCTTGGATAAATCAAATTAAGACTTATTTCACCTTGCAGGGGTATAGAACCCATAACAAGATAACTTACACATTATTGAAATCATGCATTAGCATAGTGAAATGCCCATCTGCAAAGAACCCAGGGGATATTTAAGCAGCTTATATGATGAGAGTCTTATCAAACGGGTTATGTTGAGGATAAAGAAGTGGCAAAGTTAAAGGTAACACCAAGGACAATCTGTATAAAAACCACTTACTTTCATTTTCAGGTCGCACATTGGAAATAAATCTTGGGGATTTACAAATACTTATGAAGTACACCTTTGAACTTTATATTCAAATTATAAATGAACTCTTCCAATTCTCAATCATTGATGTCAATCAGGCACCTGTAATGGTGATAACCATAGAGTGCAGGAATAAAGACAGCAGGGGGAAAATCCTTGAATCATCTGAAGATGGGCCTTCTTTCTTCAAATGAAAGAAGAGAAAAATTTGATGATGACTCTTCCTCTTCCAATGCGAATTTAGCGATAGAGTCATCCTCTAATATGAACACACGAGTTGTTCACGCTAAGGATATAAGTTAAGAAAGAGGTGATAAGTTGCTTGATGAAACCTCATTTATGCTAGTTTGGTGTAGAAGTGAAGGTTGGAAATTATGATCCGTCTCAATACTTATCTTTGGGTTAGATTTTGAGAGTCCAAAGATGAAGATTGATTGCTAGTGTCGGTTCTAGTTTGCAATTACCAAGAATTATATTGATGAGATGGCATGCAAGGTTGCTTCACTTTACATTTGTCATGTCATCTTTGACGGCTCATACCTTCACGACAAGCATATGGTCTTGCATCAATGGACTTGATAGTATCTGTTTATAAAGGAAAGGATAAACTTATTTAAAAATGGCTACATAGGTTTGATGGAAAACATAATAGCAGCAGCGGGGTTAGGTAGACTATTCAATGTAAGCCAAAAATTCTTATTGATGCTAGTCTTTTGAAGAAGAACGAGAAAGGAGAATTCATGCTTTATGTGCTGTGAGCAAAATAAGTAACAAGTACATGCAAAAGCTAATTGAGGAGCGATAGATAGATACCATCTTCAATACATGGCTGTCAAATCATCAATGTACTGAAATTTGTTCTTCAAGGATTGGCCAAGGCTATGTACAATTATACGACAGTGTATGCTCAACTACCCAAAGACATGCAAAAGGATGGAAAGCATCTCTTCCAAAAAACCAATGGAGCAATAGCTATCAAAAGTGGAGAAGCCTCTATTATTGGAGTTTGAAGAGCCATCCTCTTGCCAGCTAAGCAAGAGAAGGATTAAGAAGAAATTAGTACATCTTCAACTTTGTTGAGCTCAAAAGAGTAGATACTATGATTAAAGCAAGTCTAACCAATTAATACAACCAAGACATGACTTTTGACATTTGTAACAAGCTTTTAAAGATGAACTACTATCTAAGCTCCATGAATAGAGAAACTCTTAAAATTTATGTCTTTAAAAGAAGTTTCTTAAGATCCCTTAGAAAGGTTGAGAAATATCAATTACCAAGTAAAATGAAGTTTAAAATGAAGTTGAACACTAGGAAAGATAGGCAAGCAACCATCTCTCCGCTGGAGGTTTAAAACTCTTAGAAGTGAAATCCTCCTTAAAAGGGAACGTTAATTCAGTAATCATGACTAGAAGCTCATGAATTAGATCATAGAAAGATCAAATTGATCATGTTTGCAAGAGTTTCTATGGTTTGATCTCTTGATAGCGATTGTCAGTGGTGTTGATTTTCATATCATGTTGGGATAGAACAGGGAATCTCTTAGAGTCCACTAGCGAAGATGAATCATCAATTGAAGGCTTGTAGATCAAGATCGCAACACAAGAAGTCTGGACCATCGGATTGAAATCCTGATCACAATTGGATGATGATGAATTTTGAATTATTTCAGATAATTTTTTTTCCTGAATTTTAAATTTTGAATTAAGAAAAATTATAGTATAATTAGCTTTCAAATTTCAATTTATTGTGTTTGTTATTTTAAGATAAAGTTGTTTACATTGTAGGGTTTATTTAAAATTTAGTTTCCGTATTCTAAGGAGTTAATGTATGATGGATACGGTATGTTTTTAAATTATTTCATATTGTAGCTGTCTATATATGGGTTTGATTCCTATTTTCCTATAATGAAAATTAATTCCATCTCTTAGAAATATTATCTTTTCCCTTCGTCTCCTCCAACTGATAGCTCTCCCAATAGGCATGAATGCCGTTGCATGCTCCTTCTAAAGCTACATCCAGTTGATGAATAGTCACTAGCTATGACCTGCTTGCTAGATAAACAACAATTTGATTGCTGTTTTCAGAATCAATTTAGCGAGGGCATCTTGCTGTATGGTGCAATAAAAGTTGTTTCTTGCTGTATTGAACAATCTAAGACTCAAAAATAGCAATCTGTTTGCTGGCTAGTATGAAATGAGGCCAAAAATTGAAAATCTAATTGTTCTTAAATTCACCTAGAAGAGAAAACAACATGGGTTGTTTTCCAGTGGAAAAGAACCTAACAAGAGAGAAAAAACTTGCTATCTACAACAGGAAAATTTGATTCCTATGTCCTTAGGATTCTTCTCAAATAATTTTTTATAAAGTTTTCTGACCATTATATACCCTATCATGGGCTTACACAATAAAATTGAAAGGTTGGCTTTGGATCAATATGATTGTTGGATATCTGTAAATAATGAAATTGATTATTGAAAATATGAATATCATTACTCAAAACATGAATATTGTTATTATCTTCATGAATCTAATTATTAAATTGTGTATTCAGTCACTGGTGAAAGTTCAGTTACTGAATAAATGAATGTGATCATCAAATCGAGTGTGATTGTTGAGTATATGAATATGCCATTGGATTTATAGAATTGGATATTGCCTACTAGAATCAAGCTACTAAAAATTTGGATATAGTTAAAAGATTATATGGCTATAGTTATTTAAATTTTAGATCTAGTTAACACTTGTAATAATATGAATTGGAGGCATGTGCCTATAGTAGAGACCAATGTTTAAAATTGAGTATTCGGGTATTGAGGCGTTTTTCATTCGTGAGACGAGGCTTAAGCCTCAAGGCGTTTTGAGGCGTAAGCCTCAAAATCAAAAGATTGCGTAAAGCCGTAAACATAAAATGATAAATTTGTTTTATACTAATGAGTGAATAATATAAAACATAAAAAATCATAAGATATGAAGTATATCTCAAT